TCTGCTTGTGTAGTTTGGGGGTTCAGGGAGCACACACACACACACATACAGACAGAGGAGAAGGCCACCTGGTTCTGGAAATCGCACAGATCCAGGGAACAGGTGATGCCTTGAATCAATAATTGAGAATATATTATAAAAATCTGCAAGCTTTCAAGGATAAATCATCTTCTTCAAGGCTGTGCGTCGAGTTCTGGTTGTTATCACCTGCTGTTCTTCGTGTCCCAAATTCACCTGGCTGGGCTCACCTCAACTGGCCGGTCCCACTTCAATTGGGCAGAATGTTTGCAAACTGGAAACCATTTTAAATGCATCCGCGGAGGCAGGCTGGCCGCAGCGCTCTTCAATTATTATAAGTATTTCCTTACTATTTCCTTGTATACTTTTAAAGACATGCTTTAGGAGAGCGGCTTTGAACCAGCTGCAGGAAGGGAAGATTTATGATTTTAGCACTGACAAGCTGGGAGGGACCCCGGGGGATCATCCAGTCCAGCCCCATCAAGGAGGCACCCCGGGGGATTCGAACTCTCAGCCAGACCCCTGAGATATTTCGCCGTTCCTTAACGAGCTTAGTCGGATCCACCTCGAAGATTAAGCCTTCAGTTTTCAATACTCATAAACACAGAGCTGTCCCGAGATGTTTTGCTGCCTGAGATGGCGTCTGCCCCCCCCCCACCTGAGTTCTTCTTTTAAGGAGAAAAGCAGGATAAAAATATTTTAAATACCTATTTTTTAATAAACTGAGGGTGGAGGGGGTGGCTTAGGAAAAACATTTGAGTCATTGCTGTCGGTGCCACCCCGGTACCTGCCGCCTGAGGCCAGCAGCCCCAGGCCCCAGGGTTAAGCAAGAGAAAAATACTGACCCCCTCCTCCTTCCTGTCCTCTGTTTTTTTGCATTTCTCTTTGCGCTCTTGGGAAAATGTCGTTTCGCTGGAGATCACAAAACAAACAAGCAAAGGGAACCTTCGCCAGACTGCCTGGGTCCAGAACAGGATCTTATCTAGAGAAGATAATGTGAAATCAGTCACATGAGGCGTCTAGATTTTGTCACTGTTTCTGAAATGTCCCTTTTCGGTGGTTTTTCTAAGCCACGTGGTGGTGTTGGTGGGAGGTTTGCTTGAAATGCCAAGTCAAAAGATTCCTGAGTGGTTTATATATAGAGAGATATACCAAATGTCTCTGTATGTTGTGCATCAGTATCCTGCACTGTTAGCGCATCTGTGTGTACAGAGTAGTTTTTAATTCACTCATGTGGGGAGGGGAGAATGCATGGGCTGGGCCCTGCCATTAGTAAGAGTGAGGCCGTGGCCTCAGGCAGCAAAAATTGGGGGAGGGCCTCAAGCGGACGGTGTGATCCGCGGCCTCTCCTGTCTGCTCTATGTTAGCCTGGTATTTCAGGGTTGTGGGAAGATCCGGAAAAGATCCGGTGAGCTTTTATAGAGAGAGTGAAAAGTAGCACTATCTTGTTTTTGTGTGTGTGTGTTGTTGTTGTTTTTTGCCTCAGGCAGTGAAATGTCCTAGGTTGGTCCTGATCCTACATACCATGAAGCGTAAACAGGGAATTAGGCTGTAGGTTCATCTCAAACCCTCATTAGTGTCCAGTCAAAAATGTTTTAATGAATAAATCTTAGAACTGCGACGACTCTTTGGCCCATCGGGTTCCGGGAGGCCTAGGGGGGAATCGAACTCCCAACCTCTAGATGCCTCTTAAAGCACAGAGCTATCCAGCCGTTCATGTTTCCCTTCTCTTTTCAGGTGGGTGTTTGTGTGGCAGAAGGGCTACCAAGAAACGGATTCCGTGGTGAGCTCGGTCACCACCAAAGTGAAAGGGATCGCGTTGACCAACACTTCGAAGCTGGGCCTCCGGATATGGGACGTGGCCGACTACGTGGTCCCACCTCAGGTATCTGAGCTGGAGACTCAGTTTAGTTGCCGTTTTGGCTGGATGTCTTTTGTGGTCCAGGATTCTGAGTCTCCCCCTGGACGCTGGCTGGTGTGGAGGCATCACCTTGTTCTTTCTCGCTTTCCAAATACGAGCCATCTATGGTGGGTTGAGATAGACTTGGCCACCATCCACAGAAGGTCCATTAACGTGAGACATAGGGGCGTGTGAGCTGGAGAAGAGTTTGCATCTGGAAGTGGTTCCCAATCTGGTGTCCCCAGAAGTTCTTGGACTACCACTCCCAAAAATCCTGGCCAGCCCAGTGAGTGGGGAGGGCTTCGGGGTGTGTGTGTTGTAGTCCAAGAACATCTGCATAACCCAAGGTTGGTAAACCACTGGATTATCTGGTGAAGGTGAACAAACTCCATCTATGGAAGGAAGGAATCTAAATCAGGCGAGGGGCAGAGAAGCCTCCAGATGTTGTGCGACAACACCCATCGTCCTTCACCATTGGATAGGCTGGCAAGGGCTGATGGAAATAGGCTTATAAAATATCACTGCTCCTGCTGTCCATCCATCTGTTCCGTCCATGATCATTAGACAGTAATCACACCAGTTCTTCTGCTGATTCCATCTTGACCGATATACTCAATTGGCTTTCCTCCAGATGTGCTTGACAGCATCCTCAAGCACCAGCTGGAATGATGGGAGAGGTCGTCTCTCTTACCGAGAGGACACTATGCTGAGTTATGCTGCTCTTTGCTGGTGTGAAATTGGTCTCCTTTATGCCTTTGATTTATTTATTTTTCTTCTGCCACTTCCGGTTTCCCAAAGACCAGTCCGTCGTTGAAAGAAGATCACATGGATCTCTCTCCAAACCATTTTCATTTCTCGTTTTTTACCTCTGATATTTGCATCCAGGCTTTCCGTGGGGATGTGCAGGTCTCCGCAATGTTGACAAAAAGTCTTCTGCAAGGAGCTTTAGCTAAAATAAATAAAGTGGGACTTAGCAGAAGGTGGCGGTGGTGGGGAATATCCCTGCCCTCTGTAAGATAAGGATCGAGTTTGCTCTCTGGACACTTTTAAATAGAAGGAAAGGTTAGAAGGGAAGGAATAAGAGATTTTTTTTCGTAGAGTCATGCCTGCTTGTTACCAGCCTAATCTTCTCCTTTAATTACCCTTTGCCTTCTTTAATTCCTTTTCCCTCACCTCAACTTCACAGCAGTCCGTGCATAATAAAACCCGGAAGGTGTGCAATTAATATATTTGCCCCGGATGTGCTTGATTTCTCTTCTCTTCCACCTGGGCAGGATGTGTGCTGTTCATTCACACTTCCGATGTCTTTTGCTTACGTGAGAATCTCCCCTTCCCTTTCCACGTTCGGTGGCGATCTCAAGGCTGGCCGGTTAGACTGGTAGGCAGTGGGAGGCGTTCCGATTTCTTCATAGTCCATAAAATGACATTTTGATGCCTTTTGCTCCCTTGGCCTTCGTGAAAATGTCTTTGATGCCAACGTTTCCTTCCTGAGACATGTCATCGGTCAGTGGTTCCCAGCCATGGGTCCCCAGAGGTTCTTGGACTACAACTCCCATAAGCCTTCCCCACCAACTAGAGTGGCCAGGATTTCTGGGAGTTACAGTCCAAGAACATCTGGAGACGCAAGCTTGAGAACTGCTGGCAAGAATTGTGTAGTTGTTAGAGCGTGGGGAGGACGGATCTAAGTTCCTACCTGCCCATGGGGATCACTGAACTGGCAATTTGTGTGTCTCGTCTTGTCTTATCTCGCCGAGGTTTTTTTTTTAGTAGATTGCCTTTAGTTTGGATTGCCTTGATTTTCTTAGAAGAAAGATGACATGTACATGGAATGAATAAACAACCAAACAATAATAAAGGATCCTTACCGTGTGTACCAGGGACGTGGTGGCGCTGTGGGCTAAACCGCAGAAGCCTGTGCTGCAGGGTCAGAAGACCAAGCAGTTGTAAGATCGAATCCACGCGACGGAGGGAGCTCCCATCACTTGTCCCAGCTCCCGCCAACCTAGCAGTTCGAAAGCATGCAAACGTGGGTAGATAAATAGGGACTACCTTGGTGGGAAGGTAACAGCGTTCCGTGTCTAAGTCGCACTGGCCATGTGACCATGGAAGATTGTCTTCGGACAAACGCTGGCTCTACGTCTTGGAAACGGGGATGAGCACCACCCCCTAGAGTCGAACACAACTGGACAAAAATTGTCAAGGGGAACCTTTACCTTTACCGTGTGTAAGTGCTATGTATTTCCTCCCACTTTCCTTCCCTCTGTAGGGTGAGAATTCTGTGTTCATCATGACCAATATGATCATCACGTTGAATCAAACACAAGGACGCTGCCCGGAGGTAAGTTTGGCACCAAATTCGCTGCCCTTCGATTTCATGGACGGGCACTCTGAAAACGTAACACAAAGTTGTGCGTTTTTGAAAGAGGATTAAGAGGGAGACCATCTCTATTCCGGAATTTAGCCTCCTTCGATATCTGAATGACAGGGATGTTAAGTGTAGGGAATAGAAGAAGCCCACCTGCATAATTTATTGAGGTTTCAGGATTTGCCTGCCTCTGGTACAAAGTTTTCTTTAAGTTCTGTGCAGCATGGCGATTGCTGTCTCAAACGTGGGCTTTTTCTGGCAGCCTTCCTGACGCATTGTTTTTTTTGCTTTAAATTGTGTTTATTTTGATCTTTTGATCTCCACACAAACACCCAGAATTTCAAGACCTGTAGTCCAAAGAGACACAAATATAGACAGCTTAGTTTTCCACCAATCCGTGTATAGCAGAACCAATTATTCTTGTCTTGTTTCTTTTTTTATGTGTCTACCTGCAAAAAATAAAATAAAATAAAATAAATTTGAGCCAAACTTCCTAAGCCAAAAAACAAAACAAAACAAAACAAAAAGAGCCAAACTTCCTACGTTTGGATCAGAAGAGGCAGGGCCCTCCCCCAAACAGTGGTGGGGATCGATAAAAACTATTTTCCATTTTAATACATTTTGTTTTCTTCCTGTTCAGCAGCTAGATAAGACTACCAGATGTCACTCTGATGCGGACTGCGAAGAAGGATACACGGGCATTCACAGCAATGGTATGGGCTAGTGGGGTGGATGATAACAAATTTACTTGCCGTTTAGATAAAATCCATAGGTCTTTTTTTCTTTTTAACCCATACCATTTTAAGTTAAAAACACAACACATGGGATTTTAGATCATAGAATCAAGTCCAACCCGCTGCTCAATGGAGGAATGCAAATCAAAGCAGATCTCCGACATAGTTGTCTAAGTTTCCCTTGAATGCCTCCAGTGTTGGAGCGCTGACCTCATCCTGAGGTCATTGGGTTCCCATTGTTGTACTGCTCGAACAGTCAGGAAGTTTTTCCTGGCATTCAACCAAAATCTGGCTTCCTGTCCCTTGAGCCCGTTGTCTGGATAAAAGATACAGCAGACATTAAAATTGGGGTTGATGTACAAGCCCGTTGTCTGGATAAAAGATACAGCAGCAGACATTAAAATTTGGGTTGATGTAGAGTTTGTGTGACTTGGTAATGAATTATGGTGTTTTGGAGGGGAGAAAGGGAGAATGCAGCAGAGAGAAGGCAGGGGCAACTGCAGGACAGGATCCGGCCAGTTATGAATGCATTTTCTTCTGTGGCCTTTTTTTCCATGTTCCTTCAGGTGTTCAGACTGGACGCTGTGTCGTCTACGACCCTGCAAACGTGACCATCAAAACATGTGAAGTGTTCGCTTGGTGTCCTGTGGAGGATGATGATAAGGTGCCCCAGTAAGTACTTTGAGGGAGTAAAAAATGATGGCAACCCTTTTTTTTGAATCCAAATTAGTTTGGGAACAAGCAAGGATTTGTCTCCTTGAACCCAGCTTCCCAGAAATTGTGTCCGCTCTCTGATGACGAATAATTATCTCTCTGTGTAATTTCCCATGAGGTCTCTGTTCGAACAAAGGTGAGATATATAAATGTACAAAAGGTAGCTGGACGTGGCAGGATTTGAACCTGGGATCTTCCACATGCAAAGCAGCGGCTGTGCCACTGAGCTATGAAGTGAGGCTGGGAGTTTGGCCCACTGCCCACCATTTCCCTATCAACATAGGCCAACTAGTTGCCGATCAGCCTTTTAAAATAGCGAGGCCATTTTCACACGATGATCTCCTCCTCTCCTTTTTTCTTATTCTTCTTTTCATTGTCTCTAGACCAGCTTTCCTCAAGGCTGCTGAGAACTTCACTCTCCTCGTGAAGAACAACATCTGGTATCCCAAGTTCAACTTTACAAAGTGTGTATCCTTTCCTTTAATTCTGCTGGGGCTCGTTTGGTTGCGGGTTGGTTCTTGAACTTACTTTGGGCTCGGAGAAAATCCTTGTTCCAGAATTTGAGTGGAGGTTGTTCACGATGAAGGAGACATTTGGAAGGGTTCTGTAGTGAGTGGCGGAAGCGGAGTTTGCCTTCACTTGGTGATGGTGGTGAGTGGAGGAAACAAGCAGGGGAAAGTGAGCCAGACTACCAGATCATCCAAAAGAAAAAGAGATCTAATTGGTGGAATGTGATTGCTTACTGACTGATTAATTGAATCCACTTAAATCCTGCTGTACAGCTAGAAGATCCCTCAGTCAGCTTCACTGATCAGTTCAAAAAACGACAAGGGTCTGAGCCGTCGTCCTTACAGTGTGATAGGTAGAGTGAGGATTTCTATGACATGTCACACTTTCTCTGCAACCTATAATTGAACCCACAAGCAAGCTTAAACATGTCGATGAGTGATCTGGTCTTTCTCACCAGATGGCTCACAGACAGGTCCAAACCCGCTTACAAGTTCAAACATAGGCTGCAGAAAAAAATATATAACATGTCATAGAAATCTTTCCCCTATTGATAAGACATGACACAAAAGGAAAGAGGGATGCAGAGGGTAAAGGAAAACAATCAAACTCAGGCACAGGTTCTTGAAGTGGGGAGGTTCCTCAGCCAAATGAGAAGGCTGCTGGATGATAGTTGAGGAGAGGCAAAAGCTGATGGAGCTGAATTTTCAGATGGTGATAATAATGACCTTTCTTTCCACCTCTTTCTCTTCCTCAGCCAGTTTCAAAGACGTATTTAACACTCTGTATAGCCACAGAACGTCTTATAGGAAGAAAGTAGCCGTAAAGTAAAGCAGGCATTAGAGGGTGATGTCTCTGAATGAGATACATGTGCAGCGTGAGATGATTTGTGATTACCTTCATTTAGTCATCTTCCCTAGGCATTAGAGGGTGATGTCTCTGAATGAGGTACATGTGCAGTGTGAGATGATTTACGATTACCTTCATTTAGTCATCTTCCCCGGTGGGGGGGGGGGCTTCTTTTTAATTCCCTATCCAGGCGAAACATTCTCCCCTCCATCAATCAGACGTATCTCAAGAACTGCACCTATCATGCTGAAACGGATCCCTTTTGCCCAATTTTCCGTCTGGGTGATATGGTTGAAGCTGCTGGGCAGAATTTTCAGGAGATGGCCGTCGAGGTTGGTGAAAGCAGAAGGGGTTAGAATAAAAGGACGAAGAGAACGACCGTTTCTTTCCTCCTTGGCGTAGCCCGCACGTCCTGCAGAAAATTGAGAGCGGTGGTACCAGGTTTATTTGTTTTATTTTAAAAAACAACAATGGTCTGTTGATTTACCCATTATTGATGCGAAAATATTTTTGCTGCTTTCCTTGCCTCGAAATGCAGTTGGCTCAAAGCTGCACAATGAGAGCTAGAAACATGGTATGTTGTAGGGGGGTATCAGTCACACAAACTTTGACCCTGCTCATTATGTTATTTTGGATCAGTTACTTCCTTGTGCCTTGTTACGCCTTTCCCTGACTTCATGTCCTGTGCGATGTTTATTTCTTTGCCTTTTTCTTGAGCAACCCACCTATTTGAAGAAGGTCCGCCAGGCGACCGTTTACACAAAAAGGCACTCATGCCCTGTCACAAATGAGATCAACAAAGCAAATATTTAACCTTGCTTGTTTGCTTTGTACTCTTCTCCGGATGAAGGCTTTCTTTCAGGAGCTACTGCTTTCAGGCGTGCTACTTATGGTATTTGCAAAAGGCTCTCTTTAAAATGGCTTGGGATCCGGCTACAGGACAAGATATGAACTGGGAAATCTCTGGTTTTAACTTTGGATAGCTCGGTGGCTTTGGTCTCTGGCTGTGGAGCCAGAGGTTGCGAATTCGATTCCCCCCACTGGGCCTCTTGTGAGAGAAGAGCCAGCCTGGGTGGCCTTGGGCCAGCTGCACACAGTCCCAGGGTGCCCCTAGAGGAAGGGAATGGTAATGCACTTCTGAATATTCTTTATCTAGAAACCCCTGAAAAATTTGATGGTTTAATTAAATCAGTTCTTTCTTTCTTTCTTTCTTTTTGCAATTGCCTCAGTCTCCCAGTCTCTAATACGATGGTACAAGAAGAATATATGTTGAAATGCTTTAAACATTTGAAATAAGGTCTATAAATCCAACCCCTTTAGAAATGAGCCAGGGTCACTTCAGTTTAGTTTTGCGAGCTTGGGAAAGTACTTTTTTAAAAAACACCTCTTCTGGAATCCTCCAGTCATGATGATTTTGGCAGCTAGAAGATTCTGAGGAATTTTGCCCCCCTATTCCCCCCAAAAAAAGGTAACCTGTCCACATTTCAGAATGTTTTTTCCCCCAACTTATTTTTCTTTTTCCTCTTCTAAACGGCCATGAGTCGTCAAGGACGCGTTGCTTCCCAAACGTTGTGTGAAATTGAGCAGGCACGCTGTTCGGGCTTCCTGTTGGTGGAAAAAAATTAGGATTTTGCCTCCCTAGCCATAGAGGGAGAGAATGATGCCAGACTGAAATGCAGTGTGCATGTAAACAGAAGACCTTGCTTCGGTTTCTTACAGGGCGGCGTGATGGGGCTGCAGATCAAGTGGAAATGTGATCTGGACAAGCCGGCTTCCCGCTGTGTCCCGAAGTACACCTTCCGCCGCATTGACAACAAGGATGTGGCCCACACTGTGTCCCCTGGATACAACTTCAGGTAGGGAGAACAGGAGAGAGCCAGGATCCTGGCGCCGGGCTTCAGTGTCCTAGCTATGGAGCTGCCTGGTGGCCCTTAGCGAAGCATTGCCTGCCGTTCTGTCTTCTCTCCAGATTTGCAAAATACTTCAGGAATGCAGACGGCGTAGAGTCCCGGACGCTCATCAAGGCCTACGGCATCCGTTTCGATATCATGGTGTTCGGCAAGGTACATGGCCTTTTCTGAATCGTACCCTCGAGCCATCATCTCCTTCTGAGAATCATCTTCATGAATCACGTGGCTTTCCTCTCCTCTTTTTTTTCGGTTCAGGGGTGGGGGCTCGGGTCTTGGCAGTGGAGACCCACTCTTGGAATGCATCGGCTCCCATGTTTGAGCATTGCTCTCTCTGTGACGATGGCCTAAAGGTCATGAACCCCCAAAACTGTCAGCATTAGTTGTTTAGAGGAGCTTTCAATGACATCCCTACCCGATTTTATATTTGGTCTTATGCCTCGTGTTCCGCCTTATCTGATAACTGATATTATGCCTCTTGTATTATGCTTTGTAATCTCTAGTGGTTTTATTTATAACTCTATTGTTGTGGGATTATATATTATTTGACTATAAAATGCCCGGAATGATGTGATGGATGGATGGATGGACGGACGGACGGACGGACAGACGGACGGATGGATTAGAGAGAGAGAGATGGATGGATGATAGGGGAATGGATGGATGGATGGATCGACAGATGATGGATGGATGAATGAATGGATGAAAAAAATAGGCAGACAGATAGATGAGAGAGAGAGATGGATGGATAATTGCCTTGGCCTTTTTAAGACCTACCTTTTGATCCCTCCTGACGCATGGGATCCAATTCCGTTGACCACACTTGCACATTTTTAATCATCCTTCCATTTCTTCTTTTTCTTCCTTCTTGCACATACTTGTCTGTGAACCATTTCTTTGAATAATCTGGGTTATTTCACTGCCTCACATTTATCGACGTCAGAGGCTTCACTGTATGTAGGCTGGTGTGGATCGTGGCAAAGATTTTATTGCAGATCTAAATCTCTTTTGAAGAGCGGTTGGTGGAAAGCATGTCAATTAACCTGTTGTATATCTGCATCTTTTTCAGGCGGGCAAATTTAATATCATTCCTACAATGATTAACATTGGATCGGGTTTAGCCCTGTTTGGGGTGGTAAGCTTTTTTTATTTCTCCTCTTTATGTAATGCTTCCTTTTCTAATAAAGAACTGGTCAGTTTTTAATTGATTTGAAAATAATACTTCTCCTCCCCCCCTTGGTTTTACCCTTTATTTAGGCCACTGTCCTGTGCGATGTCATTGTCCTGTATTTCATGAAGAAAAAATATTATTACAGAGAGAAGAAATATAAATACGTTGAAGATTATGAATTGGTAGGTCTGGCAAATAACCTCATGCGATAAGGAGCTCATGTTACTGGTGTAAACTTTCATGTTTAGAACATTTTAAATGCAATTCATGTGAGGTTTTCTTAAGAGATGGTTTTTTTTTGTTTTCCTTTGCTTTTTTGCAATGTATAGAATCCTAGAATCGTGGCGTTGGAAAGGGGCGTCGAAGACCGTTGAGTCCAACCCACTGATCAAGGCAGGAATCCATATCAAAGCACATCTGATAAAGGGTTGTCCAGTTTTCAGATGGATACACCTTCCAATTGGAATATCATACTTTCTCCCCTAAGGATTGCTAATGGAATTCTTGCTCTGTGAAGCCAGATTCATTGTATGGGACACTTTTACATGCCGTTAATTCAATCCTGAGTGACTCTTACCAGAGGCACACTAGGGAATTGAATTCCCAAGCCCATCCACCTAGCTGTCTAGACACCGTAAACCAGATTATAATACCCAATGCCCATTTTAGGTTAGAAGGCTCCTTTTGACTTACTTAGATGTGTTGTCGAATACTAGAATTTACTTGAGGGGAACAGGTGGACTCAAAAAAGGGCAGCTCACATCCTTGGGACAAAATTAGGATTTGGTTTTAAAGATGACCTCATCATTCCAGTAGCAAATTTCCGTCATGCGCTTTCTTGATTTAAAACTAGGCACCCACCTATATCTAAAAATCTAAAGGTGAGCTAAAGTCTCCCTTTCTGTCTTTATTAATTTTAAAGGAAAGTTAAGATCATGTTTCATCCATATATTAAAAAAAAAAATGATTTCTGTTAGTGTATAAGGAACAAAAATGTTAAAAGCTACTGGATGGATTCTGTGAGTTGTAGTCCAAAAACCCAAATCTGTTCACCTCATTGTTTGCGAATTTTGTCTTAATTTCCCCTCTTTTTTTTTTCCAGGGAGTCGATAAAATCTATGGATCCCAGTCGGAAAGTCCGGAACTCCGTGGGGACCAATGACAGCTCCCACGTTCTGCCGTGAATACGGTCTTATTAATTTCACGGACAGACTGTGAATGTGATCTTTCTCTTTATGAGGAACTGGTCAACTAGCCTTGAATGTCTAACAGGATCCAGCGGGAAAAAAACCCTTTGCTGATTACCATCCTGGCGGGTCCTGTTCAGACGTGGCAGTACTTTTGATGCTCCAGTTGAAAGAAGATTGCCATCTGACCCCAAAGGGAATGAAGATTGGGATATTCTGCAAATAATGACCCTTAACACTTTCTGTGAAAGTTTTTTATGTGGATGGTTGGGGGGCAGAGTCCTCCGCTCCCTTCTGGATAGGTCTGGTTCCCATTTGACCCCCCACAACCACCATCAATTCCCTTCCGTCTTACTAGGTTTGCCCATCATCATTTCTGCGTTCCGCTCTGACAGAAGAGAACCTTCTTTATGGTTGCCAGTTGGCTCAAGGGGTGAACTTCGGTCGCTCTTGTCTGTCTCTGCCCCACGAGAAAATCTAGAAAATACAAATCCATCGGTCAAAATCTCGAGCATCCCTTCAGAACCACACCTCCGAGACTTCTCGGGGGGGGGCAAAGAAGTGGTCCATTTCACTTAAGATAGCTTGACGTGTTCTGAAAAGGTGCACTTTACTTGCAGACCACTCCCCTCCCTTGCCATGCCCGTCTGTTCACAAGGACCAAACGAATTACGAAATGTGAATTCCGAAATGTGGAGGGGAGGATCTGTTTTGCACAGAAAATAAAAGGATTTCTAAACTTCTTATCCCATTTTTGTGCTTCCTTATTCCGTTTGAGTCACTCAGTGAGTCATCTGAAATGCAGAGTCGTAACCTTTTACATGTGTACCATCTTGCTTCTGTAAACAGGCATGCCGTCTTCAAGCGGAAGAGTTGTGGATTTCTTTAAGAAGCCACAGAGGGTTCTAGATGGCTTCTTTTCCTCCCCCCCAACAATAACGCCCCTCATATTGGGTTGAACATGAGCAAGTCCTTTGCGGGGGGGAATAACCAAGAGAAACTGGCTTTCAAACTTCTTTTCTTGAAAAAATAAAATGCAAATAAGAGGAAAATAAACCCCAAGCCGGAGGCAAAAATATTTCCAGAAGGATAACCTTATTAATATCTTGTGGAGGAAGTAAATCAGGAACTGCTAAGTTTGATCCCATTTACTTAATGTTCCCGCATGGGGTTCTTCACATCTCCTCTCATCTTTAATTTCCGATACTGCCGATCATCTTGGCCTTCTCACGTCACCATCGTAGACCCTCAGGTGAGGGGAGAAGAGAATTCCTGCGTTTCCTTCCAATAATCCACTGTAAATGAGGAATAAAAGCTATGTAATATTTTGGTTGTTTCCTCAAAATACGTCTTGCAGCAGAACCTCTGGTCCAATATGGATGGTGTCAAAAGATGTGAAAGAAAACTCTGAAGGCTTTTCTCTCTTTTTTTCAGGCGAGTGTTTGTGTGAGGCAAACAGCTATCAAGGAATGGGTTCTGTGCTGTGTTTGGTTACCAAAAAGGTAAAGAGAGTCACCGTTACAAACGCAGCACTGATCCACGTGTCTTGACTTGAGATGTAGTTGTATCTGTGGTTATAACAAATAACACCCCCTAGAGACAAGATTTGTTATTACCTCCCATTTTATTTCAGCTTGAACATAGAAATCTCTTTGGAGAGATGCATCTCAGGTTTCCTCTTGGGTCTGTATTTTTTGGAGGGTAATTCGTGTGACTAAGAGGACATAGTCACCCGACAAAGGTAGAATGCATAATAGAAAGAAGCTAGGGCAAAAATACAAGCCTGGGGCATTCATCAATAAAATCAGCAATATTACAGAGCTTGGGGTGGGCAAACATTGGATTAAGATTTAGTAGCTATGGGAGCAAGCCAGCTATCAAAATATGGTTCTCTGAGCATTGAGAGACACCCAGTATGATTTGCACACCACCTTTTTCACACCAGTAGCTAGATTTCCAAGCTTTCCCTGTTTGATTGATTTTTAAGAGCCTCTCGCAGCTTGCTTTTGGATCTTCCCCTTAGAATCCAACTAGAATCTAGCTAGATTTCCAAGCTTTCCCTGTTTGACTGATTTTTAAGAGCCTCTCGCAACTTGCTTTTGGATTTTCCCCTTAGAATCCAACTATCAAGAGGCTTTGGAAGGAGCAATTGCTGTATATGGACAACTGCCCAGTCAGGCTGGCTGAAAGGCAGATGGGTTAACATGCCACTATCTTCCGCTACAGAGTTAGGGTAGTTTAATGTCATTTTACCTGACATGGCTCCAGTATACAGAATTCTGTGATTTGTAGTAGGGTGAGATATTTGAGATTTTTCTCCCAGAGAGCACTCTGTTGCTGAAGTTCAGTACCGTGCAGTGCAGCGCTCTAGCACAGAATTCCGAAGAATTTCTAGCGCAGAATTCCAAAGACTTCTAGCACAGAATTCCAAAGAATTCTAGCGCAGAACTCCAAGCTGATTATGGTCAGTTGTTTCATCTATACAAGCAAGAATCCTGCTAATCTGAAGAGTCCTGATAAACTGGAGATTGTCGTGGCTGGAGAGCCTATGCGTGAGACAGAACGTCTCCTTTCGGACATGTTTTGCTTTCTATGTGGTGAAAAGGCCAACGGGAGAAGAGCTAAGCTACTCCTCTCGAAGTATTTTGTTGAGAAATGAACAAGTAATTCCTAAACAGGGCCGATATCATTCATCAAGCTATAAATTTTAAGAAACCATAGGGTGGTGCTATAACAGTTACAGGACTGTCAAGTAGTTATAACTTTATTGTGCAGAATTACCCCTGCAGTCTGCTCTGTAAAAATCAATATATACATATATATATATATATATTTTGGGAGGCTTGGAAGGGAGAGGAGTTAGTTAGGCATCCTTCAGTCTCGAAAGACTATGGTAGCGTGCTCTGCATGGAGGGCTTGGAACAGCGCCTAGTGTGGCTGAGAAGGCCAATTCGAGAGTGACAGTCCCTTCCACACTG